CAACTTTTGCTGTGGGATCACCCCCGTGTTCCCCTGGCTTAAAGAGATGTCTCTCCTGCAGGGAGGCAATCCCGGTGACAGACGGACACACTCATTGTGTCCAGTGCCTTGGAGAGGCACATATTCCCTAGAAGTGCATCTTCTGCCAACAACTAAAGACCAGATCCCGAAAGAACCAGGAGCTGAAGTTAGAACTTCTCCTCATGGAAGGTGCTCTTAGGCTGGCATCTGACCCCTGTCCTGAATCCTCTCCAGGATGAAGATCATCCCCAAAGCCTTCAACCTCCAGGGAGGTGGAAGCGTGGAGAAAGTTGACTGACTCCCCCCGCAAAGCTTCCAGTAAATGGTCTGCAAGCCCTCTAGGCAACCCCTTGACCTGCCAGAGATCCCCCTTGCGTTTGCCCACCTTGGCACTGATGGCTCCGAAGCACGGCACTCAGAAATCTCAGGGACCCCACTGTATGAGCTCTTCCTTAGTGCCTAAAGACCCGAAGGGAAAGGCACTGAAGAAGCCGCTCTCCTTGGAGCACACCGCCAATAGTAAGCCATCAGTACCAGTGAGTCAGCACTGGGCATTGCCTGACGGTACCAAGCCCATCAATGGTACCACAGGAGTTCCATTTTTCGAGTGACCTTATCAAGTGTCTCCAATAGAGAGTCCACTAGATGTTCCCCTACGGCTTTAGTGTCCAGATCCCCGGAACCTGAGGAAGAAACTTTCAAGGAGGAGGAGGCTAGACTAGAGATGGAAATTATGCTACAGCAAACATCTTCTTACCAAATGAGGCAGTAATGCCCCATCCTCCATCACTTGCCAATGACTGTAAACTCTTCCAAAACCTCACTAAGAGGGTGGCGGATGCACTACAAATTCTCCTGGAGGAGATGAAAGACTTGAACTATAAATTGTTAGACATACTGCACATTTCCTCCTCTTCGAAAACCACCCTCCCAATCAACGAGGCGCTAATGTACCCTGCCAAGGTCATCTGGCAGACACCAGCCTCCATTGCACCAACATGCAATAGGGCTGACAAAAAGTATTATATTCCCCCTAAAGAAGCAGACTTTCTCTTCGTGCACCCTCAACCTAACTCTATAGTCATGGATGTGGTTAATGCACAGGAAAAGCAACATTATACCAAGTTGACCCTTTATAATAGAGATTGGAAGATGCTAGACCTATTTGGACAGAAGGCATACTTGTCTGTGACCTTACTGTTCAGGATCTCAAAATACCAGGACGTAATAGTTAATTATGACTACATGAATTATGGAAAACTCAACTCCTTTATTGGCCACTTGCCAGAAGCACAAAAGGAGCAATTTCAGGCCATCACCAAGGAGGGCCAGGTAGTAGCAAGAACAACGCTACAGACCACACTGGACACAGCGGCCCACTCAGTCTCAATGGCAGTGGTAATGAGGCGGACATCCTGGTTGCACCTTTCAGGGTTGTCAAAGGAAGCACAGACAATGGTCAAGGACCTCCCATCGAAGGGCCCAAACTCTTTGCTGACAAGACAGATGCATGACTCTATCTCTTTAAGGACTCTAGGACCAGACTATGCTCCCTGGGAATCTATACACCAGGAATTGCCTCCAGCTTCTCAGGCATATGATGGCATGCACCTTTGTGACTCCACACAATTGGTTATTCCTGAGATGTTTGCAGATGTGGCTCAGATCTGTCTACTCTCTGAACAAGGACAGGCTGAACAAGCTGCTGTCGATGCCCTCTAGGGTCAAATACTCCCTGGACTGGTGGAAAGAACCATACAATGTCTATGTAGGTATTCCGTTTGCAGAACCCACACTAACGCTGATTCTAAGAACAGACACCTCTCTAATAGGCTGGGGAGCCCACCTAAATGACAGCAAAGTCCAGGGCAAATGGTTTCCCACAGAAGCAGTTCTCCATATTAATCTTTTAGAATTAAGAGCTGTCAGAAATGACAGCGCACACTTTCTCCCATTCATCAGGGATACGAAAGTCATGACGGGTAGTATGACCGACATTTTTTACATAAATTGCCAAGGGGGCGCCAGATCACCCTCCCTTTGCACGGAAGCGCTGAAACTTTGGAACCGGTGCATCCACCACAATGTGCTCCTTTCAGCCACTCATGTACCAAGAATACATAATGTGACAGCTGACAGTCTCAGCTGGAATTTCTCACACAATCACAAATGGGACATGAACCCAGCAGTGCTTCACAACATATTCAACCTATGGGGGACCCCGACAATAGATCTGTTTGCTACTTACCAGAGCAAGAAATGTCTCTGCTACTGTTTGAAGGTTAGACTAGAGAAACAGTCCCTGGGGAATGCTTTCTTCTTCCCATGGGGCAGGGAACTATTGTAGGCCTTTCTCCCATTCCCTCTGATGTCCAAGTTCCTGTTAAAGAATGGCAAGAGAAAGCAAAAGTTATACTGATTACCCTACTCCCCCGGCCGAGACAAGTTTGGTACTCATACCTTGCACAGTTGGAAGTATGTCCTCCTATTTCTCTTCATCCCATTCCTCACCTTTTCTCTCAAAACAATGGAAGAATCAAACTTACTGATCCTTCAGCTCCAGGCTCGGCTTCTTCTTGGTTTCAACACTTAGAGAGTGAATGCTCTGAGGAGGTGAAAGAGGTGTTACTATGTAGTAGGAAATCGGTGACTTGTCATACTTACCTTCAAAAATGGAAACAATTCCAAATTTTGTAAGATTCCAAACAAGT